CAGATTTAAAAACATAACGAAACGCTGAAGCGGGCGCGCGTATTTGTTGACATGGAAGATGTGAATCATGCTGACTGACGTTGTGTACCTCAGACAAAGGAACTAGCTACGCTTGTGCTAAAGCATGATAGTGCAGTATGTCTTCTTTCTTTGAATTTCAAATCATCAGACTTAAGAGATTTGAATGTCATTACCTTAATAACCTCTCTAAAGCACTTAATCTTGGCTTTCTTCTTCTCATGATTCTCATCATTATTCTTGTTTACGCCGTTACGCATGACAAGGTGACCGCTGACGCGTTGATTTTTGTGATTTGTAGCAAGTTGGCGCGAGCAGGAAACCGGAACATTCCTTGAATTCCGCGCCATAAAGTCATTAATTAGTGACCCAAACCACGCGGGTACAGAACGAAAGATCTCAGATACACTTGAAGAGAACAATGTCAGCGTATTGAAATTCAGAACTTTCGGTTTTATGTAGTTTACTAACAGTAGGAGACAAGACTGGTTTTCCGAATTTAGTAAAGGAGTTAAATCTCGGTTGTTTATGAACCGATTAGGAATGTCGCATTCATTTGAAGTCTTTGAAAGGTTCGTGAGATTTAGTTTCAAATGCTTTAGACTGCATTACGACATGGAATACCCGCTTCTCCAAAAATGGAGCCGGCGTTTTGACGCAAAATTAGGGCCGGCGTAACTGATGGCCCTGAGCAAGTTCCCCGGGAAGGGATTTATGATAACCGGCTTAGAGCCGGTTTTGTAACATGCAGACTGTGTATTCAGCAGAGGAGAGCTTACTCGTTTGGAAAGTAGGTTTTTAAAAACCTTCGATTTAAGCGATAACTCGCAATGGATCGGGAAAATAATCACACAGCAAGCAAAAACCAGCAAAGTAAATAAGGTAAGGTGTATTTTATGGCAAATTCTAGCGAGTATTTATATTCTTGAATCTTTTACCTGAATTCCCATACAAATCCTTTATGTTCACGGCCATTTTAAGGATTACACAATATGAGACCACCCGTATTATATAATAGGGCCATTTATACGAGGAAAAATAAGACGCGTCTTACATAAGACGCGTCTTAAATAAGACGCGAACTTTCCGTATAAACGGCACGTTTCGTCTAAAATAAGACGCGACTTAGCTAAGACGCGTCTTTTTTTAGAACAGCCCTTAACACCTGTTCTTAGATAAGACGCGTCTTAGCTAAGACGAGAAAAACTTCGTATAAATGACCTTCGCGTCTTACATAAGACGCGAACGCATGGTACGCATGTGTTAATTTTTGGCGGGAAGATTTTCGCGCCTTGTTGGTTGCCGTTGCTACGGGCAACATTCACATGAAAACGAGTCAAGAACAGAAATAAGACGCGAACCATTTATACGAGCTGTTCTTGTCTTAGATAAGACATGCTCGTATAAATGGTACAGTTCGCGTCTTATTTAAGACGCGTCTTATGTAAGACGCGTCTTATTTTTCCTCGTATAAATGGCCCTATTGATGAGTAAACTCTCTAACTGAGCTTGGAGTGTCCAACTTGATTTTGAGGTATCCATTCTAGTTGTCGGCTTAGTATCCTAGCGTTTGAGTGAAGGTGAGGCTGAGGCTGACATAAGAAAGCAGGAAGGGTTGTATCAAAACAAGGTCAACTCCAGCCTCGTTTCCACCTGTAACTGTAAAATGGGCTATTCCTAGGAACCATATCCAAGTTCAGAAGGGAAAAGAAAAGATCGTTGTGACTTGTTTGCGTCCTCCATTGACTATTTTCGAATCCCACACAATACACTCTGTTTGACCTCCAAATCAGTTTGCATAAGTTAACTCGGAGAGAACAAAAACAACTAGAAAAGAAATCTCTATAAAAATGTACGTTACCACCCAAAATAATTAGTGGTATTTGACTAATCCCATGTTACTCGACTACCTCAGGTAATGCGTTTGTAGCTTGCTTGCTTTATACATACATATCACAATTATAACAAAAAGGGTACTTATCAATTTGAATGACTTATTTTGGCATTTATTTCACTTAACACGTGCATGCAAAGCTTCATTTTCGTGAGCAGCAAGTACAGATCGAGTGGGCGGAAAGTGAGTGGCAAGTTTTACCTCATGTTATGACGTCAACGTATGTAGACAACGCTTAGCTGTGATTTGGGAAAACGCCAAATGAAATTAGAAAAGCAATCACATGAAACAGTCACAAAAGAATTCACACTTTCGTGTTTCTTGTGGGATTTACCCGGTAGTTCCGCTAGTTAAGGCCCCTAACCGCAAAATTTTTTCTAAGAATAGGCCCCGGATGAATCAGCGGATTCAGTGGGTTTGTGTGGACGGGAGGCCCATTCGCGTAAAAAAGAAAATATGCGATAACAAAAATATCCGGATTTGTGTGGACTGGGCCTGAGGGTGGATTCATTAACGACATACGTGTAAAGCCGTCGCTAATCTTGCACTCAGATCTTTAATTGTCGTAGCCGAGGGCCAGATCTGGTCAAGAATCCAATCTAGTTGTGGCGTGTGCAATTCATTCGGATCTGTTCAACACGTTCAAATATATATTTTCACTGAAGAAGTAGTTTTCCGTCTCGATGTCACTTGTAAAACTATTTTTGTCTTATCTTTTACGACTTTTTAAAACTTTCTCTCGGTATCAGTAAAGACTTTTGAAAAGGGTAAAAAAATATTCTCGCGTAGAAGTTGACGCGTTGATGATGATGCTGTGAGATTTTAGCGCGCGCTATGATGATTAAATTTAAACTAACTGTCGCATTGAATTTGGTGTTACAAAGCCCGAGAACAATAACAACAACGTACAGACTCGATCCTAGCCCCTCTCCTCTAGTAAGTTTGTGGTGTAGTCATTCGCCTCTGCAAAATCTACGGGGATGCCAGATACGTGTCCAATCCGTTCCACTCAAAGACGGTTGTCCCACACAACCTTAACCAGAAGCATATAACCCCGAATCGGGGTTATGTGCTTCTGCCTTAACCCAATCTGCATGAAGTAGAACTGCGTTCCTCTACGTCGAACGCAATGAGCCCCTGACACGAAACTACTTATTTTTGTGACGGATATAAAGAACAGTGAGCGATAAGTACAGTAGCCTGCAGGCAAACTCTACGATTATGGCTTGCACGCTAAAAGTGCGGGGAAAAATTGATCACAAGGTACAACATTAAACATGACCTCTCTCTATTGACAGAAAGAAACCTTCGCTCGCGGCTGATCGAGGCACGCGAGCGTCCACACACATTTCTTCTTTCTCCTCACGTTCTTCTCAAGACAGGCAAGTTTTGTAAGCTGGAACATCTTTTTTACTGGATTATAAAAGAGCCCGAGGCACCAGCAAAATTACCTCCCAACGCAAGTTGCTACTAACAACTATTAAACGCAAATTGTGATTACAATAATGGTGCCTCAATTTTAACCTAGGGATTACATTTTTATTTAAGATTACGATTTAAGCCTTAAAGTTAACCGTTTAATACTATTCTAATAGAGCAACATGTTCTTTTTTTTCTTTTTGTACTTCACAGTTAAGCGGCAGTAAAATTTGTCCTGGCATATTTCAGTTCACATCACAGGGCGAATTTCATTACGGGACCGTTTTGGGTATAATATCACTTCTTTGATTGGCTATTACAAAGTTGCGCAGGAAACTGGGTTAAAATTCGTTCCCCATAACAGTCCCATCGTGTATTTCGACACAACATTAAGCAATTAGTCTCCAGCGCGTACTCAAAAAAACCAGTTCTTGGTTTGCAACCACGTGACATGGCGGCCACGTAGGTAGTCAATACAGTAAAAATTATTTCAACGAATTTACATGAAAATGGACTTCAGCTCCCAGAGGATAGAAATGTTTTTGTTGTTGAAAGCCAACATGGCTGCCATGACGTCACGTGCAAACCAGCAATTGAATTCCTTTGGTTGTGTCCTCTTGGCCTCACTCCAGGACCACAAAACTGACGTCAATGGCTAAAAGGAAGAAGGAAACCCTGGACACTTGCACTAGGACTTCTGGGATCGTTAGAGTGACCAAAGTTAGTTTTGATTGATTGTTCGAAGCCCGGCATTAGCCAATCAAAGCGGCTCATTCTAGTTATTCAAACTAAGGATTCTGGAGATAAATAGCTACAATTACATAGAAAATTCTTTTATGTGAACATTCACATTCTCAACAAGTACCTCACAACTTAATCGGGTAAGTTTATAATTTTTATAGCTTTTACAGGTCTTCACAATATTCGACATTGCATTAATGTAAATGTTGATTTTTTTTCCCTTTAAGTTGCGACCAGTATAAACTGAAGTTTAATACCCTGACAATAAGGGTGCTGAAACTTGAGTTACAGCAGGAAAATGGGATTTCTAGAGTGCTAAGAGTTTAAGGAATCTTCCCACATAAATTTTACAGGGGTGATTTTCAATTTGCTGCCACGCCAAGTATAGACCACTTTATACATATCCGAACTCTCGCAGGCTAAACTTCTTGATCAGAGCAATTCCTCTCAACTATTATGAATATAAACTTTTGCTCTGGACAAAAGATTATCAGTGTTTCTTCTCTTAAGGAATAATATATTGTCTTGTCACGTGATATAACCAATCGACTGTAAAAAAAAAACAAAAAACAGTCCAAACAGTGAGCGATTTCCATTCAACAAAAATTCATGTTTGAAATTTCGGAAATTCCACGAGACCAATGAAACGGTATATTCCAGTTGTACAGACCCGACCCAAGCCACTGCGCGTTTGCTTATTGATCTTGTAAGTAGGATACAAAAGAACGGTACTGGGGACAATATTTTTGTCAATTGGAAAGGGACATTTTAGTCCGACCGACCGAGATAACTGGACCGGTCAAAATAGACCATCTTGAAAACCGAAAGGGTCCGTTGCATTTGAAGTACCAACCGAAATTTCCGCAATTTGGGGTTAAATGGAAAGCGCCCAGTGTTCCTTCTCTTTGAGGAACAATTCTTTGTCTTGTCACGCAACATACGCAGGAGCTTGTAAGAAAACCGCCAATACAGTCACCAATACGGCTATCCCAAACACCCATAAAGAAAGCTTGTCCATCACCATGGCAGCAATACGCCATTCTTCTTTGTGATTGTTCAGTCTGTCGTCTACGACTGAGTTTTCTACAAGCGTGTCGACTCTGTCGAGAATTCTTTCTCCGAGCTGAAGTACGGGATCCTGGAACCCTTCCATGTGATTTAACGATAGTTCCGAAGCACTGAGAGACGGCGCTGCAAGAAAACCGTTTGTACTCGAAGCCGCGTTTCTGTAATGGCTGTCATAAGGGCTATTACTGTGACCGTTAATCAAACGAATCTTATTCTTGAGTTTTATCGAGCCATTTCGAATTGGCTCTAACGACGTTTCCAGGGTAGCTTTCCGACCAGTATCCTTGCGCATTTTTGAATGCTCCTGGATTCGTTTAAGGTTCTCCATACTGATTCCGAAGAAATTTCCGAGATAGCCGAGGACATACTTCCGAACCCAATACGGCATCTCGATGACATCCGAGTGATAATATTTCAAGATGTAACAAGTCCACACAAGGCCGACAGCCATTTCGACCATCCCAGCCATATAGAACTTGGCAATAAGCGGTACTACATCCGATGATGGGGGAATTGTTTCTGCCACCACCAACATGAACACTGTCATGGCCAGAAGGATTGTTATCGTCAAGGAAATACGTTCACCTGAGAAAAAAAAACAATGAACAACAACGAAAAAGTGAATTTTTAACGAACCATTTTCCACTGGTTAAGCAAAAGATTGGTTAAAACTTGAGACTAAACGTAGATTAAAACAATCAAACTTGATATTGAAAAAAGATAGATTGCCTTTAGTTTGGACAATTCGAAGTAGAATAGCTCATTTTCTCTTCCTGCAGCAAGATGCAGCGAACTGAGCGCCGCTCTTCAGCAAGTGTCACTCGCTGCATTCAAGCTCCTCCAGACCTCTGTTTTCAAGACTGCGCGCAATCTAGTCGCCACGAGAAACGAGAAGGGGACTGGAGCCGAGATACGTGCCGCAATTGTTTCTGGGATCGTTACTGAGGACGCACCGGTCAGCTAGTAACAGTCCCAGAAACCCTTGCGAAAGTTAACTCGGCCCAATTTCCAAAATGGCGAATGTACAATACAAACACACTACACTGCTTTGCAATACACTAAAGGGAAATGACGCAAGAAAAAAACTATTGGTTGACTTGTTCTTCGTCTAAAAACTAGAATTGGGATAGGTGACATATATCCTCAGTATTATTACAAGATAATACAGGCATTTACCGAGTCCGGACCCTTGGCGATTCAGGAGCCCATAACTGGGAGCGAGCAACTTCCATACTGGGTCTATGTCACGGCGTTTTTAAAGAGCAGTTTATTTTTACGGCACTTTTTCTCCCGCTCCGGGTTATGGGCTACTGGGCTAGGTTGCATAAAACCCTCTTAAGATAAGAGGGCTCTTAACTTTTGTTCTGGAACAATAATCTTTTCCTTTATTTTTTGTAATTATTGTGTGGCAAATAAAATAAAATAAAATAAAATAAATAAATAACCTATTGTTTTGAAATAATAGTTACGAGTTCCCTTAACCTTAAGATGTTTTTTGCAACCCGACCCTGGCGATTAAATTATTAAAGAGCGCAGTCAGTATTGCACATGCGCATCAAAAAACACTTACCTGACTCTGCGGGGAGTATAAAAGACACGTTAATCAACACGGTGATGATGACCAGCGGTAATATTAAGTTCATCATATAGAAAAGAGAGCGCCTCCGAATGATAAGGGTAAATGTTACATCCGGGAAAGGTTCCTCGCAACAAAAATACTTCAACACGTTTCGCACCGACGGCACACCGACCAAATCCCACTCGGCGCTCTCGATGTAATTTCCCAGGTCAGCAGAGTGGCTCTCGTTCAATATATCGAGACGATAGCCGTCGTAAGTCCACGAACCGAACTTCATTTTACAATACTGCGTGTCAAATGGGAAATACTTGATGTCGATGCGACATTTGCTCTTGAAAGTGACCGGAGCAAGCCAAACGTTCTTTCCCGTGTGATGCAGTACAACTCGGAAGTTTAAGCGGTCTAAGTTGCCGCCAAAACTGATATCTTCGTCAGCGCTGTGAAAAAGAAGAGAGGCAAATTTTGTACATATTCCAGGGGCGCTGCCGGTTGTTTCGATACAAGTCATTTCAAAACAAGGCTACACTTAAGTCGACGCCTAAATAGTTCAACGTACTTGGCTTAAAGAACGAAGAGTATTCACCCAAAATGTTTTTCTTGTTCACACGCAAACTATACTTGTAGTGAATGAAATTTTTGTGCAATTTCACTTCTCGAGTTTGTATCGAAACGACCGGTTTCCTTCAAGGGGAGAAGGAGAGATCGAGGTGTAGATAGCTTATTTACCGTTCCCTCTTAATTTTAACTTCAAAAAAAAAAAGACAGAAAGACCCCGGCCCACCCCCCAATTCTTCCGTAAACGTTTGTCCATCGCAGGGGTGCGCAAGGTTAAACCTGCTGCATTCTTCGTTATTTTATCCTCAAAGATCGGTCTTACTCGACTCTTGATGACTGCTCTGAAGGAAAGCAGTCAGAAGCTAGTCAGTTCTAGATTTTTTGCTGACAACATCTTTTAAACTGTCTTTTCATCGCGGGGAAAATCATGTCAAATTCTTCTGGTTACTTTCCTTGAAGTGTCGCACCAAATCTCCCGTACCAAATCAACGTTGACATCTAGTAAATTTTAGGCCTCCTCCGCGAGTTTCCATGAATATAAGCTTATAATTAGTTTAAAGCGTTTCCAACGTTTCCAACGTTTCCAAACGGCCGCCCTTATTTCATTTTACTGAAAAATCAGTTTTCACCACAACGAATGGCCTAGCTATAATCTTAACGAAAAGGCAATTTTGGTCTAGATAAAGTTCACTTACTTCTCATATAGAACGATGTCAGGAAGCCAGACTTTCTTTGGAGACACGTTGATAGTTTTTAATCCACCAAACTCACTGCTGTTCCAGGCTAAGAGAGGATTAAACCATATCTGAGGAATGAGGAAAAAGTTAAAGTTAGACGGCATTTTCACATCTTTATCTTTTTTTATCTCTTCAATTTTTTAGTAATCTTATCCTTATTTCTAGAACCTTCCTTATGCATGTAAGTCTCGCCCACCCATTACTGAATTTTTGGGATCCACTTCTGCAACTTGCCTGGATAATTTTCTTTAACATTACACTCTAACTGTCCACCTTTTACTAACGAATTTGTGGCTTTGTTAAGGGTTCAGTCAAATTTGATGTAGACAGTAGACACAATGTCGAGAGGCACGTACAGCTATTGTCTGTCGGTTCAGACAAAATAGTGCAAAAGGTAGGTGAAATAAGCTGGTATAGCGGACTCACTTGTCTAACCCAGGCGCTTGTTGTCAGAATTTGATTCTTTTCATCCTAAAATACAAAAAGGAAACAAAAATCACCTTTGGCTATTTCAGTTTATAATGTTATAACCACGCACTTCGGAGACAGGCTGTGAACCTAGGCCTCAAGAAATTTGATGTCTAGTTCCAAAAACTCTCACTTTCAAAACGAGGCAAAATGCAAAATCATTCTTGTGAAAATGAGTTTTATTTGCATCAGAATAATATATCATTCTCATATCAATGGCTTCGCTTTTAGCCTCGCTTTAAAAAAATAGAGGTCTGGACAACTATGAAATGGCTTCCCCTATTGATTTAATAACCGGGTTTCCGCGAATTTTGATCTGTCTCGGTAGTTAAAGGTCCCTATTTGATACTTACCACGTCAACAATCTGATTGAGTGTTAAACCAAGAATGACCGTCACAGCATCTATGGGTCCCTATTTGATACTTACCACGTCAACAATCTGATTGAGTGTTAAACCAAGAATGACCGTCACAGCATCTGAATCGTTTACCGCAGGTCGTTCATTCAGGTTATAATTTGGGTGAAATATCTTCTTCAACAGTGCTTGTTCATTTTTACTAGCTTGACAGCCTTCAAAAGAGTAAGGAACACAAAAACTACTTCAGACAACCATTCCTCTTTCCAACCCAACCTTAGCGTCTAACCTGGTAGGGTTCTGAGTTTGGGGTTCTATTTAGGAAACAAAGGATGGTTTTCCGTATTTTCTATGAAGGAAATGCGCGAATGAAATGTCAGGAAATCACATTTTAAATCCTGAAATCCTGAAATAAGAATGACCAAGACCAGGTTTTATGAGCCCGCGAGACTGAGCACCCCACCCAAACCCTGTTTTCACTAAAAGCGCACTAAAACCTGGTTGAGGTCATTGTCATCTGAGGTCTCCCTGTGAACCTCACACAAGATACACTTGAAGGTGGTGTTTTTCCTAAGGCGAAGAGTACCGAGTCTTCCCAATACGGTACATATACTCCCTCCCTATTGAGGCTACAACAGCTTAGCCTTATGCTTTACAAAACATCAGGGGCACCCAACGAGGATATAGTTCAAAACCACTTAACATAGCATTGTTGAACGTGTTTTAGTATTTAAACGGTAGATATAGGCATATTTTTATCCCCTAAAAACTTTTCATCTGTTCGGATTTCCTAGCTGAAAGTCTAGTGATCCGAAAATTATAGGGATCAAAAATTACCTTTTCGAAAATTTCAGCCAGGAAAAAGCTCCCGAAAATTCTAGGTGGCCTTTTTTAGGGTAAATATCCGTTTAAAATGGGTAATTATACCATTTTGTAGATGTTCGAAAATCCTAGGAGAGGCAGGTAAGCAAGAAATTTTACAACAAATGTTCCGAAAATTCTAGTGCTCAAATCGTCTTCGAGCAGATATTTTCCCGAAAATTGCCGTTGGGTGCCCCTGAAACATCTCCTGTTATACAACTTTAACTTAGCAAAGAGCGTGATCCATTTCAAGGAAATTAATAGACGAAATAACATTTTGGGCTGCACTATTTCCTCCGATTTGAAATGGAAATCACTTTTTGATGTATTAAGTGGTTCTTGCCAAGAGCTGGAGAGTGTTGGGATGAATAAACTGTGATATGAGTTAGATGAGAATGAAAAGCTGGACGTTGTGGGGGGTGAGGGGAAAGTAGCTGTAAGCAGAGAAGTTGCGAGAGAAACAGTTTTTTTAAGTCAGTTGTACAGTAACTAAAATTTCAATTCATCCAGCGGGCCCCAGTAGTTCAGAAGATAGACAATGCTGTGCTGCAGTCAAAACCATATTGATTAGTGATTTTGAAATAGAAGAACAGACCCAGCTGTGCCTTAGTTATTATCTCTCTCTTACATTCTTCTGGTATGATTCAATTTCATACATGTTATCAATATAATCGATCTAGGGTGCATAACTGTTTGAAGAAAGTGTAAAAACATCCCTTTTTTTTTCGCTTTGACATCGTTGACAAAGACTGTGTTAAATGTTAATTTTAACTGGCACAGTGGTAGTGGGGCAAGCTGGTTATTATTTTATACTCGATCTGTGCCTCAGGGTCAATAGCAGGCCCTTAAGTCTCGAAGATTTCATCGAATCCTCGAGAAGCCTTGAACCAACAACGATTAAGAAGGAGTTGACCCCCGTTCCACTTTTCTATAGTTTAAACTCTCGCTATTCTCAAGTTCAAATTTTACCAGGTGTTTTTGCTTCCACAAATAAAACACAAAACATACGCAAAAGCGAAACCCCAGCAACAAAAAAATTGACTCCCGAAAGTCAGTGTATGCAAACCGTCTTAAAATCAACTACGTTTCGATTTTGTTTAATCTGTTAATTGGTGAAACAATTTTCTTTTTCGGCATTTCAAAAAATCCAGCTGCAATTCAATTTGACTGTGGTTTATTTGATAGATATGTTACCACCAAAACTAAACAATTTTCGTCGACTTTATTTAATGCAACGTTATATTGCTGAAACATGAGAGTACTTATTTTAATTAGAATATAATAGTTTAATACGTACCCGTGAGAAGCGCTGTCCAGAAGAAGAACAGACCGGAAAACTCTAAAATTCCGGCAGGCTTCATCCGGCTTTAGTACCAAATTCAATCGTCTAAGATGAAAAACTTTTTCGAGCCTGAAAGAGATGGAGAATTCATCACATCATCCGAGAGGGGCGGTAAATTTACAATTCTATCATGATTATAACTATTGGTGGCGCAGTTCGACTGTTTATGAATGGAGTCAATAAACTGGCCAGAAAACATTTGCATAATGACACTGTCTTCGGAACATCTGCGCTTCGCACAAAGATGACAAACTATTCAGTCCTCAAATGAACTGCCTTCTTAGTGAAAAGAGCCACTCTCGATGTTTATGTAAATATGAAAGTTTACAAAAACATTAAATGTGGGCAGTTTTTTAATTTGTATATTATTTCATGCACCTGGGCTTCATTGAGAAAATTACAGAAATGGCAGAAATTTCGTGAGTGCTATTCAAAATCAGAAGAAAAATAACTTTTAATTCCAAATTACATATTTGTGTTAAGACCAAAGACAATACAACATGAAACGTAGATTTTCAACACCAGTTCAAAGCATCTGCCGATTTGTAACTGTTCTTGCCAAAAACATTAAAACCTCTATTTTCTAGAACTAATCTGGGCTAACTAAATTACAGTGAAACTTCGATTTAACGAAGGACCAAGGGACTGGCAAAAAAGTTGGCTATATGTATAACGAGGTTTCGTTATATCGACGTTCGTTTCCTCATATGTCACAATTACTGGGGCGAAGAATATCGTTCGTTATACCGAGAGCTTCGTTCATAGAATGAGTTCATTATATTGAGGTTCCCCTGTACTTTGCGTTTTATTAATACTTGCCCAACAGAGCTTAAACAAAGATATATAGCATGAGCCTAATGCGATGTATTCAGTCATGACTGCCTGATTTGCAACGAAACAATGTATTTACTCAGAAGAGGGAAGAGAAAAAGCAAATGAAAGAGCCTTGTATACCAACAAAAGAAACATTAATCCACGAAATGTTCTAGGATAACAATACGTAACGAAATTAAGAAAAGCAGAAGAAACAACAAGCACCAGCCTAATTACCACGAATATGTCTGAACACTTTCAGTCAAAAAACTGACGAAAACAAAGCGGACTGTTGGCTATACAGCCTCCTCTTTTTAACACTATCATACGCTGCTGAATTTTTCATGATCTTGAAATTTGTCGTAACTTTTGTTGTACCAGCACACAACTTCGAATAATTTCAGATATAGACAGGCTCTACATAACGACGGAACTGTTATTTTCTGCCTAGGTGTTTCTGGTGTCACCATGAACACTTTTTTGCCGTTCATTTTCGTTCCAGTTTTTCTGGTCCGGATGTTCTCTAAATAGTAGAGAAACGAGTTAATGTGAATCAGAAACTCTCCCCAGTCCCTTTATTGAGAGACAATGCCCCTACAATAATTTCTGCGGCAATCTACGGCATTTTTAAGTTAATTAAAAGGAGAGTCGCCCCTTCAGCAAGAAAGTAAGTAGATTACATAAAACAAATTATGGCATAACTCCAGGTGTCCGTGTCATTGCGCGAATACTTTCAGGTAACAAATATATACATCTTTATTCATGCACCAAAATCAGGTTCGAAAAGAAAACAAATCTACTTTTAGATTCAAGATTAGCCAGGGCGACCAATTGGTAGAACATTCTCGAAAATGCAAAGCAACAAAGTACAGAACACACTCATCCTCAGCAAAATATCCCCTGGAGACCATGTAACAAATATATAAATTCTTATTTATGCACCAAAATCAATTTCTAAAAGAAAATAGATAAACTTTTAGATTCAAGATTAGCTAGGGCGACCAATTGGTAGAACATTCTCGAAAATGCAAAGCAACAAAGTACAGAACACACTCATCCTCGGCAAAATATTCCCTGGAGACCATGAATACGAATAAATTTAAGGGAAAAGCTGGCATTTTTCAGGAGAATGTCCTTCAGTCATAATGCATGGTAAAGTTTGTTTTTTTCTTATTTCCTTAATTAGGCGAAACCTCTAAGACAATTGTGAACGCCCTCCAAATCTTTTTTAAAAGAATCATTCATTTTCATACTATTCATTGTAATGTTTTTAGCTTTGCAGTATAAGCTTAACCCTTTAAACCCTAAGATCAAACTTTGAATTCTCATTTGTTGCCCCTGTTCATTTCCTATAGATGTGGTAAGGAGAAGTTGATAAAATATCAAGCAAATTCATCTTGTGTGATCATGTCCCTAATTCTCATGACCACTCTGTTTTACAAAGCAATGATATTGCAAGGAGAAATTTGATGCTGATCACTCTTAGGTCTTAAAGGCTTAATTACAATGAGAACCTTGATTTTTACGCGCGATCGTAGCTGCCAGGTCTTTTTTCACTGGCTTTACTTGACGGGTCTATAAGACAAAAAAAGAAGTTGTAATCTATGAACAGCTTGAAGTAAAGCTTAAAATCATTTCAACTCCCTGGGCCAATCCCGTCCCAAGATCTTTCGTTTACACCCTCGATGCTGAGCAGTTGAAAAGATATCATGGCCTTTGGTAAAGGAGCTTGAATTAAGGTTGCTTTTAACGTTTACGTAAGTCATTAATGCGTCTTAAGTTCTTAAAATTGTCTTCCTTGAAGAAAAAATACGCGACAGCTGTGCAGTCCTTTGCTTTCCTACTATTACTTTGTTATTGTCTTAACGTTTAAAATAAAGAAGAAAATTATTTCAGAAATATTGATTTATACTGATCTGAGAAAGCGGCTTCCAAGTCCATTTAGTCTTGCACGAGAACAGACCAATTACAACTGACAATATAGCGGCTAAAAGTTGCCAGTTCCAGGAAGATAAACCATGCATATGTTTGGTGCATTTTGCTGCGGCCTTCTCAGTTTCAACACTACTGCATATCACGCAATTGCCCAGCCTCGCAGCCATACAAGCATTTGGTCAGCTGTGCGTATATCTAAGCATATATGAAGTAAATGGAAAGTTCAGAGAGCACGCAAGAAGAAGCTAGAGAAAAGTACACAACTCTCCTTAATTTACATTTGCGGGTGCCC